CGAAGAGCACCCTGCCTCCTCTGCTCTCCTGCCCCCGTGGGATTTGAATTCCAGGGTTTATCAGTCCACTAGCAAGAGGGAGAGCACAGCCAGATCATACTATGCATTGTGAAACCACACACAGGCTTCTACTTTTCAAATGTGACTCTTCTGCGTTTGGTTAGTGCAACTCAGCATCCCTCAGTGAACTGACAAATTGGATTTTGGAGCCTGTGACGCTGAGGCCCAGGCCCCGGACCACGGTGACTTCACAGAGGGCTGCCAGCACGGCGTGACAGAGCCAGCTGGCCTGGTGGATCTTTGCTGCCCAGGAAGGGGGGCGGGTACACTCTCAGCAGCCGGCCACTTCGGAGCCAGCCCCCTGCCCCGCCCCACTTCCGGTCACACTGGGCTCACACTGGGTTTAAGAAGAGGGGATGAGTTTAGGGCTTCGTGCTGGGGGGGTTTTCAGGGCAGATGCCCAGCAGAAAGGTTCTCTTTGATGCCTGAGAGGCAGTTGAATGCCCCGAAGGCGTCACGCTGCCTGGAGGCCCAGGATGATGGGTAGATTACAGAGACAGCGGCCCACCACTCACCACCCCTTCGGAACCAGACCTGCTCCTGCAGCGGCTGCGGGTTAAGCACGTGGTTCCTAACAGGGACAGAGGACCGGTGTTATTTCAAAACTGTTTCCTACAAGCTCAAAAGATAATATCACACTATTTAAATGGGTAATTCCCTATTATCATCTGAAGTCAATCATGTCAGAATTTATCAATTGTTCTATGAATGTCCTCTGTACCTTGTTTATTTTGAGCCAGGATCTGGTTTAACCAGGACATTGTATTATATCAAATTGTTAGGTCAATACATCTCTTTTAATCCAGAATAATCCCTGTTTTCTTGACACTGGTTTTTGTTTTGTTTTGTTTTGTTTTTTAAGAGGTTGGGTCAATTATCTCAGAAAATAGCTCAACCTCTGTACTCGTCTTCCTGCTTCTTTGTGGCCTTATTCATCATGTCCCTCTGTGCCCTCCCTGCGTTTTGTATAAATTATAAGATAAATGTAAAACCTTGATAAGATCCCATTTAAATGATTTTTGACCAAAAGGGTAAAAAAAATACCTCATGGGTGATATTATTTCATGCAGCTTTGCACATTGCGAGACACTGGTGTCCTGGCATTGGTTGCACTAGACTGGGTGGAAATGGCGACCTTCAGATTTCGCTAACGTACATTGCTCCTCTTGTGCCCCGAAAGAAGGAATCTGCATGGTGTTACCGGCATGAATGCCCCGCTCCCCATCAACCATTTTTCTAATGGTTTGATAAGCAGTTGACAGTCCCTGTCTGAATCATTCATTTCCTTCTAACATCTCCTTTTCTACAGTCAGTAAGTCTTAGGCTCACAGATTACTAGTTAGGGTATGAAGCAAGCCATTTGCTTCTGGATCCTTATTTCCCTCATCTGTAAAAATGAGTCTAGAAACAGAGCCAGTCCGTGTGGCTGTTAGCAGCGTTACATGAGATGACCGTGTACGCGCGCTTCGCCGGCTTGCTGGCACCGTATGAATGCAGTCAGCGCCGGCTTCCTGTTATTGCTCTGCTTCTCCTCATGTGGGTGGTGGGAAATGCAGAGCCTTATCCACTTAGCAGTTTCGTGACCCTGAGGCAAAAAGTCAATAAAAATTTTCAGAAGAGAAATTGTTAAAAAGGAGTTGAGGCAGTTACCAAGAAACTTTTGAAGAACATTGACATGTTTTTTAAAGAAAGTAAATTGGGATTTGTTTTTGAATAAGGACTGCTCAGTGTTTCCAAAGCTGTGTTCTAAGAACCAGTAGCCCCACGACATGCTCTCTGGGAGAAGGGCCCACTGTTAAAACAACGTCTAGGAAATGTTTCCCATTCTTCTGTTGGAGTTTCTTTATGCATATTATGCATAAATGTTTATGCATATTAGTAGCTTCAAGTTTCTGGAAAGCCTCTCAGGAAAGAAAGCTGCTTAATGTTGTTGAACTGAGTGCTTTCTAAAGCTGTTTGCCTGTGGACACTACTCCCACAAACCTACCCACGCCCTACCTTTTCTCAACCAAGTAACACATGTGGTCATTACATTGAGTTGCCTTAGAGGCTTCTAAAGGCTTGAATAAGGAGAGTCTAACCCGTGAGCCGACCACTGGAGAGTTGGGCAGTGTCCATCACTAGCCTTTGGGTCCTGAAAAGCCACACAAGCTACAGGAGTTGTTTTTGCTTGTTTGTTTTTGTTTTTGTTTTTGTTTTTTAGGTTTATTTTATTTATTTGAAATACAAAGTTACAGAGAGAGAGGTCTTCCATCCACTGGTTCACTCCCCAGATAGCCACAAAGGCCAGAGCTGCGCCAATCTGAAGCCAGGAGCCAGCAGCTTCCTTGGGGTCTCCCACGAGGGTACAGGGGCCCAAGGACTTGGGCTATCTTCTACTGCTTTCCCAGACCACAGCAGAGAGCTGGATCGGAAGAGGAACAGCCGGGACTAGAACCGGTGCCCATATGGGATGACAGCGTTTCAGGCCAGGGCTTTAATCTGCTGCGCCACAGTGCTGGCCCTGCTATAGGAGTTCTTAAGAATTTCCTGTGTTAGTTGGGGCAGGAAGGGCAGGTATTGGTGACCTAGCAGTAATTTGGCATCCACACTCCCTTACCTAGGTTTTCTGCTGAAGGATATAGAATCTACCTATGTAGCAGTTATCCCAAAGCTTCTGGGGCTCGTGCAACCTGGACAAGTGAGCGAGTCCCTTGGGCTGATGGCCAAAGACTGAAGCACATAGAGGGCATCATGGTTCGGAGGAGCAGGACTGGGAGTCAGCCATGTGTCAAGGTCTTGGCTTTTTGCCAGGAATTTGCTGTGATACCTAGCTTCTCTGAACCTCAGCTTTTGCATCTATATAATAGATGCAATTAAAATGCCCAGCTCAAATGATTGTGAGCCTCTCATTAGATATATAATAGCATTTCAACACTATGATGTGCTATGTAAATGCTAGTTAGTTTAGTTTTATTTAAAAACATTTTTTTAAGATTTATTTATTTATTTGAAAGAGTTACAGAGAGGCGGAGGCAGAGAGAGAAAGAGAGGTCTTCCATCCACTGGTTCAATCCCTAGATGGCCACAATGGCCGGAGCTGAGCCAAATCCAAGTCAGGAGCCAGGAGCTTCTTCTGGCTCTCCCATGCAGTCTAGGGACCCAAGGACTTGGGCCATCTTCTGCTGTTTTCCCAGGCCATAGCAGAGAGCTGGATTGGAAGTGGAGCAGGCAGTTCTCAAACCGGTGCCCATATGGTATGCCAGAATTCCAGGTGGCAGCTTTACCCACTATGCCACAGTGCCAGCCCCAGCTAGTTTAATTTTAGCGGTAATGGTATTCTTACTGATCTACATAGACTCATGTTTTATGGAGTCACTAATCATTCTTTTGTTTATTCAACTTGTCTAATTTTTGTTGAGCACTTACTGCGCAGCAGGCACTGGATTAGGTACTGAGAGAGAGTAGGAAATAAAGCAATTCCAGTCCCTTGCTTCTCAGAGGGAGAATTGTATTCCACTGGGGGAGACAGGCTAACAAAAATATGCACAAATCAATATATAATTACAGTCCCCTCCTCTCAAGTACCAATGCGATCTTTTTGAAATGGGCATGATGCTTATAATCTGTAAGTAAATGGATTTCGAAGGTAACATCCAGGGGCTGGCATTGCTGTGCTAAGCTGATGCCTGCCATGCCACATTCTGTATGGTAGCAGTGGCTTGAGTCGTGGCTGCTGCATTTCCTATCTACCTCTCTCAGTGCACCCAGGAAAGCAGCAGAAGATAGCCCAGTTACTTGGGCCTCTGACACTGATAAAGGAGACCTGGACTCTGGGTTCAGCCTGGACCAGTCCTGGCCATTGTGCCGGTCTAGGTAGAGAGCCAACAGATAGAAGATCCCTCTCTCTCTTCTTTTCTTTCTATCCCCCTCTCTTTCTCTGTCACTTTGCCTCTCAAATAAATGGCTAGCCAAAACAACAACAACAAAAAGGTAATATCCATGAGCAGTTCACACACACTGAAAGGAGTTTGTCCGTTTAAACAAAGAAGAAGATTGTTAATGTAGAGCTGGAGGAGATCTTAAGAATATTTTATGTCAGTCCCACTTACTGCATATGTGAAAAACTAGAACCCAGAACAGAGGAATTTACCCAAAGCCATGGGTTTGTGTGAGGTATGTGTGTGTGTGTGATCGTGAGCCTGTAATCAGGGACATTGAGACAGGCTCAGCACTTGGATTTCTCCTCCTTTGTTGGTGCGTTGCACTCTGCAGGCTTTTTAAGAGCAGCTCCTGTTTCAAAGGTGTGTTAGAAGCACACTTTCATAATTGTGTTCCATTACTAGAAACTGACGGTGCAGCACACTTGATTTTTCCAAACTTTGTGCCATGAAATATTAATATTTTACTAGATGTTAACAGGCTATCACTTTAAGCTCCTTGGCCAGATTATTTGAGCACACCCACACCCACATTGTTACCTGATTCCACTTTTGAGATCTATAAGTGTACATGTGACTGTAGATTATCCCTGCAGTAAGGAAACCCTTAAGCTATGTACAACCTGGTCCTTCCCAAGCTTCTTTGACTACAGAACCCAGGTTAAATTCTTGAACAGTGAACGTGATTAAGGACTTATGCAGGAGGTGCAGCCTTAGCATCAAGTGGGTTGGCTTCTTGCTAAACTGTAGAAGCCCGACGGGGCTCACTAGCCCAAATTCGATCACGTGACTTAAAACAGGAAGTTTACTGGCTGACTGTGGGTGTGTGATAACACAGACGAGCTATACCATAGGAAGCCTTTCCTTAAGTTGACCATGTCCTTTGAACCAAGCGCTGGAATAGGAAGCAGTGGAAGATTGGAGTATGTTCTGATACATCTTTGGAGAAAATCCTCTTTAAGTGCTTTTTTTAAAATCATCTTCAAACTTTTGGAAAATGATTATTATTGTTTTTTTTAGGGACTCGCAAGCCCAGAGTTCTCCAAAAGGGTTCGATGGCTTCGCGGGACATGCAAATAAGGTAGCTGGACCTCCTGGTTGCCAGGCAACAACGAATCCTCCCTTCAGACCCGGACAGGTCCCTGGGCTCGAAGCCGTCTGTGGCTGCATGGTCAGGCCATCCAAACATTGCAACTGTTAGTGATATTTTGGAATCTTTGAGACAAAAGCCCAGCTTGCTAAAGAACTTTGGTTCAGTCGAGAGACAGGGAGGTACAGTGAAGAGAGAATCAAAAGCTTGGAAATGCGCTGCTGAGAAGAAACGCCGGCTGCTCCCCGAGGTGATTTGTCTGTGCGCTCCACTCTCTACAGATGTTAGAGCCTCTTTTTGAGTAAGGACCCGAGGTTCTTTGGTAGCACTTTGATATCTTGCTCGAATTCAATATGTGAAATGGAGGCGTCTCTCTGTGACTTGGAGCCCACAGCAGGCTTTGAAGTCTGATCCAATTTTTGCTGCCTACTATTTGATGTTGAAAGGATGAAATGAAGAAAATGTACAGTTTTTGCCAGTAACTCTGCTGAGCATATGTAAGATTAAAAAAACAAAATCCTTTGGATGATGTACTTAGAAATGTTAAGTAGATTAATACCTTCCTATAGGTTTTCTTTTTTTTCTTTCTTAAGGATAAAAATGAAGTATAGTTGAAAATCAGCACAGAGTTGTTTTTCTTTCCTGGACTATAATTAATTGAAGAGGGGGCCGGGTTGCATGTTCAGAGGACGAAAGGGGTGAACAGAGCAAAAGGTGTTGGGACTTTACTTCTAATTGCCCATAGGAGTGCACCTCCCCTCTGTCCAATGTGGGATGTGGGCAACTTACGAGTGACTCGGACAGACTTGGTCTCTGCCCGTTCTGGTCAGGGTTAAGGGGTCATTAGTGAGATGGATACCATGCCCTTAAGGCTGCTTCATCAGAGGATGCAAATAACGTTGCTCTTACTGGTCTCTCTGAAGCTCTCACTGGCTGGGACTGATTCGCCATGCCTTGTTGCTCCAGATCGTCAAGGACCAAGGCCCCGGGCAGCCCCTCAAAGCCTTGGTAAGGAAGACATCTTGAACTGCGTGCTGCTTCTGCCGTTTGCATGTTTGTGTACTTTGCAGTGAGTTGTTTGGTCAAGACTGTCTGGAAGACAGGACTCAATTAGACGGTAATAGGACGGGATGTTAGCGAAAAGTTCAGGTTGGGGAAACCATTATAGGCTGGGAAGCAGACTTGTAGTAAAGGTAGCAGTTTACCGCCTACCCAGGCCGCTGAAGTTTACATTCCTGAGGGAAGATAATGAGTGTCCAAGGCCTTCATTTTCTCTTTACTTGTAAGAACCTCACATTAGGAAACTGTCCTGAAAGTTTATTTGTTGAAGGAGAGATAGACAGCAGACCAGCTCTCTGTGGAGCAGATCACTCAAGGTCAGTGCCCAGGGCTTGGTAAAGGATGTGGGTTTACCGAGTAGTCCTACCCTCGTGGCACCATGGCCGTTCTTGCTGCGAGAAGACAGGCACCTTCCCTCATGCCTTTGGAAAAATCTCTGCCCTCTTATCTAAATCCCTTGCTACAGAATACAGCAAAAGTCAGTTTCAGGCATGCATGCGCGTGTATGGTGTGTGTGTGTGTGTGTGTGTGTGTGTGTGTGTGTGTGATTATAATCAGTACCTCTGGAAGATAAAAACATGATTGCAGAAAAACATTTGTGAGTCAGAAGATAGGATACTATGGATCATTCCAAGGAAAGAAAGCTTTTCAGATTACTTAATGGCTACCCTATTTTTCTGAAATAATCATTTATCAGGTCTCTCCAGATTGCTTATTAGCATATTTTTCAGTGATGAGATAGTACAACATAAAGTGGAGAATGCGTGATAAATGTGTTATGGTCTTCAGCCATATGGAACTTCTAAACTCATGAAGAGAGACTGGAGAGGATGAGGCCACTTTAGCAGAACCTTTAAAATGGTGCAGCAAAGCCATCAGAAAGAGTGTTGTTCCCATGGCCAGCTCAAGTTCAGGAGCAAGGCCACAATGAGGTAGGGGTAGGAGCAGAGAAGAATTTAGGGGAAAGACGGCAATGGAGAAGAATCTATGATGCAAGGATTTAGTTGGCTATTTTTCTTTATCCAAATAGACATTCTCTACCTATTAATAGGAGTATTTAGAGCATTTACATTTAATGTGATTATTGATATGTGCTGGTTTCAATCTATCATCTTGTTGTATGTTTTATGTGTTATATTTGGTCTTTGTCTCTTTTGGCATTCTCTTTTAAAACATGCCATTATCAAAAAGAACAATGGCTGGGAAGCTAAAGGCACAAGTTCTGGAGGCAGACCAACCCAGATTCAAATCTCTGCTCTCTCGTGGAATACGAATCAAGTTATGTGACAACTCCTTATGTGTGTTCCTATGTTTGTAAAATGAGAGAAATAGTAGTTCATTTCTGGGAGGTTTAAACTGAGGAGTGTGTGAGCTAGTGTGAGTGCAGGCTATATATGATATATAAGATCAGGTACTTGTCAGCTGCTGTTGCGATTTTTGTTACCGATGTTATAAAAAATGTCAAGTTAATCTATATCAAGTATAAATAACAGGTGGAAACATTAGGTTCTTAATATAAGGCATTCAGGTTTGGTGAAATAGGTCAGGAGTGTAAAAATACACTACATTTTGAAGGGACAGCTATTGAAGAGAAAAGAAACTTGTTGGATTATAATCATCTTTCTAAGTATGTAGAAAAATATACCAAAAAGTCAAATAAGTTACAAATCTGATTTGTTATAAATGGCACATATATACTTTCCTCTTACAACTCACGTTTCCCTCTAACATAGACAGCTCCCTGTTAGGTCCACCACTGTGGCCATCCCTTCCCCTTACACTCTTGCAGACAGCACCCTATGTGGTCTTCCTGCCCCAGTCTTCTGCTCCGTCTATCCCTCTTGTACATGGGTGCCTAGGAAGCTTTTCTAGAGCATAACCTGGATCATGACTGCTTTTCCTCCACACTCTTCAGTGGCTCCCCAGCACCCCTTCATCGACTCCAAGCTGCCTGGTATGACCTTCAAGGTTTCTCTGCTCCGATCCTAATCTTCCTGTTTGGCTCTAATGTCCGCTGATATTTCTTCCTCATTCTGTGCTTGAGCGTATGCAGACACTTCAGTCTCCAAACATGGCTGTATTGTTTCCTCCCGCTGGGTGACTTTGTTCATGCTGCCCCTGTACTTCACATGTCCTTTCCTTCTTTCTTTTTCTTTTTTTAAAATATTTATTTATTTTATTTGAAAGTCTGAGTTACAGAGAGAGAGAGAGAGAGAGAGGTCTTCTGTCTACTGGTTCACTCCCCAGGTGACTACATTGGCCAGAGCTGCACCAATCAGGAGCCAGGAGCATCTTTTGGGTCTCCCACATGGGTTCATTGGCCCAAGGACTTGGGCCATCTCTACTGCTTCCTCAGGTCACAGCAGAGAGCTGGATCGGAAGTGGAGCAGCCGGGGCTCAAACCAGCGCCCCATATGGGATGCCAGCACTGCAGGCTACCCCACAGCGCTGACCCCCACATGTCCTTTAATACTCACTCATCAGAATCCTCTGCATCTTCTGAGGTCCACAGTGATGGTCTCCCCTGCACCCTTTAAGTTTTCACATGGTGTCTATCACATCCTGCCTCATATTGTAGTTATTCTCATGCATCTACTAGATTTTTAAACTCTTTGGATCCTATCTTCCCACTTATGAATTCTCTCCTCACAGCTCCCCAAATTAAACCTTGAGCATCCAAAGCTGTAATGAAATATAATGGAAACAAGAATGAAAGGAAGCTGCCTGAATAAGTGAGACAGAGAAAAGCTTTCAAATGTTACTTCTAATAATCCTTGAGCAAAACAAGTGCCTTTTAGTCATTCCCAAATAGATAGCACATATTAGTGGAACAAATTAAAGTCATCCAAGCTGTTTCATTTTGCTGCTGTCTTTTAAGCAGGAGGAGAAGGGAAGAAAGCTCAGGTAGGAAAAAGTATTACATGCAAACCAAATTTCCCTTGACCCGAGAAAACGACAAAGATGAATTGAAAAACAAGTTTTCCAGATTTGTTCATGTTATCAGAAATAAAAGTATATTCTTTAAGAGACATTTTAGCAAATCAGACTTGTGTTTAATTCTTGGCCTTAAATGATCTATTATTTCCACTTTTTTTTTTTTTTTGGTGGAAGACTGAATAATAATACTGTGACTATGACCTTTTCTGGTTTTGTTCATAAATTTTATTTATTTATTCATTTATTTATTTGAGAGAGAGAGAGAGAGAGAGAGAGAAGACTCCCACCTGCTGGTTCATTCCCCAAAATTCCTGCAACAGCCAGGACTTGGCCATGCCGGAAGCTGGAAGCTAGAATTACAGTTCACGTCTCCCTGTAGGTGGCAGAAATCGAATTACTTGATCTATCTCCACTGCCTCCCAGAGTCTGCATTGGCAGGAAGCCGGAGTCTGGAGCCAGGGCTGGGAATCAAACTTGAATATTCCACCATGAAATATTTTTTAACTTTTCGTTAAAGATTCATTTATTTGAAAGAGTTACAGAGAGAAGGAGAGACAGAGAGAGATCCTCCATTTGCTCTTTCACGCCCCAGATGTCCACAACAGCCAGGGCTGCGCCAGGCTGAAGCCAGGAGCCAGGAGCTTCATCCACATCTCCCAGTTGGGTGCAGGGGCTCAAGCACGTGGGCTGTGTTCCACTGCTTTATCGGGTGCATTAGCAGGGAACTGGATCCGAAGTGGAGCAGCCTGGACATAAACTGGAGCCGTATAGGATACCGCAATGCAGGCAGTGATTTAACTCGGTGTGGGCCCCATGGAGCAGGGTCTTAACTGCTAAACTAAATGCGTGCCCTTTCTCTGTTGTTGTTTTTTTCTTTTTTGTTTTGTTTGTTTGTTTTTAGATTTATTTATTTGAGAGGTAGAGCTACAGACAGGGAGAGGTCTTCCATCTGCTGGTTCAATCCTCAAATGGCCGCAACAGCAAGAGCTGTGCTGACCCAAAGGCAAGAACCAGGAGCTTCTTCCAGGTCTCCCACATGCGTGCAGGGTGCCAAGCACTTGGGTCATCATCTACTGCTTTCCCAGGCCATAAGCAGAGGCCTGGATTGGAAGAGGAGCAGCTGGGACACAATCAACACCCATATGGGATACTGGCTGTAGGCGGAGGCTTAGCCCATTATGCCATAGCACTGGCCCCTTTTGTGAAAAAAAAAAAAATAAATAAAATACTAACATTCACCAGATTTGTCTTCTAACTTGCCATGAGGACAATAAAGGAGTCTGGTGGTGTAGGGGCTGAGGAGAAAGCAATAAATCTAAAGCTCCTCAATCTCAGATTCTGCTCAAAGCAGCCATGCAAGCAAGTCTATGAATGTGGGGCTTGGGCAAGACTGCCTTGAGCCTCTTAGTCACAGCACCTAAGAAGGCTCCTGCCTGACCCATATGGGCTGACTCATTGCTTGTGGAGAGAGGAGCATAACCTACTCAGGAAATGCAAAGCGTAAGTCACTGTGCCATTAATTCAAGCAGTTACATTACTCAGTAGCACTGATAGAAATGTATATGGGCCTGATCTGATTTTACGATATATTTATTCTTTAGGCATTCATTATATTCATTCAAAAAATGATTATTAACAATCCCTAAGTGCCCTGGGCTGCTGCTTCCCAATTATTTTGGAAGATCAATTCCTAATTGGTTGTTTCCCAATTTGCACAGTCTGATATTTTTGTGAAATAAAATTTTTAAAAAGTTATTAGAAAAACAATCACTCATTTGGATGTTTTGCCAATATCAAATCGACCTGAACTTTTCTAAATTTCTTATTCTAAATTTCTTTATTAATCTTGTTGACAATCAGTTGCAAGAGTCAGCCTGCCAACAGTATATCAGTGGTACTGTTCTAGGTACATATGACATCAGTGAGCAAAACAGTCAAAGACTCCAGTCCACATGGTGCTAGACTCCAGCAGAAGGAGATAGCAAATAAATAAGCAAGGGCAGGTGCGTGGC